TTCAGGCCCAGGTCTTGTGCAAGAGTAGCCAGTGCTCTTAACCACTGAGCCATCTCTCTAGCCCCTTGAATAATTTCTTTAAACTTTGTATTAGTGACATTAGGTATTTACAATAGCTTGTGATATGACTTGAAATATATTTTCCAGTTTGGGTTAGAGACCCTGGTTCAAAAGGGCTGGGGAAATAGCTCAGCCTGTAAAGTGCTCATTTCAAAAGCATGAGGACTCAAGTTTGAGTCCCTAGAACCCACAGAGAAAACCCAAGAGGTGTCACATGCTTACGGTCCCAGCATTGACCTGGTGGAGACAGGAGGGTCCCTGGGGCTCACTGGGCAGCTAGCCTAGTCTAATCAGCATGCTCTAGGTCCCAGCGAGAGACCCTGTCTCAAAAAGCATGGTGGAGATCTGTCATGAGGAACATGACCTCTGACTTCTTGATACATCTGTACATACCTGTAAACACATACATGAACCACAAAATTTTTGTAAAAAAAAATTTTTTTTTTTTTTTGGTCTTTTTGAGACAGTGTCTCCCTGTAGCCCCAGCTGGCCTGGAACTCACAGAGATCTGCCTGACTCTGACTCCTAAGTGCAAGGATTAGAGTGCACCACCACACCCAGTGATATTTTCTATTTTTATGGTTTGAATCTAGGGCCTTGCACATGCTAAGCAAGCACCCTACCATTAAGCTATATCACCAGCTTGCATGATTTTTGTAAAAGATTAGTTTTGTTAGTGTATGAGTGTTTTGTCTACATGTGTGTGCACCATGTGTGTGCAGTGCTCATAGAGGTCAAAAGAGGGTGCCAGGTCCCCTGGAACTGGTTATTGTGAGCCACCATGTGGGTGCTGGGAACCAGACCTGGTGCTCTGCCAGAGTATCTGGTGCTCTTAACCACTGAGTTATTTCTCCAGCCTTTATGTGTTTTGGTTTGGTTTTGGTTTTTTGTGGGGAGGAGTTGTTTTTGTTTTTGTTTTGTCTTTTTGGCCCTGTAGCCCCAGCTGGCCTGAAACACTGTGTACCAGACTGGCCTTGAACTCAAGAGATCCACTTGCCTCTGCCTCCCAAGTGCTGGGTTTAAAGGCATGCGCCAACCCTGCCTGGCTATTCCTAAAATATCTTTAATGGGATTATTCCTATTATCTACTAAAAAATAATTGGCTTTTGCACATTTACAGTTTATTAATATCTTAGTGTTCATAGTTTTTCAAATGATTCAAGTTGAGGTGAGGTATTAGAATTAGTTATATTCACAGTGATAATTTTGCTCTTATATTTTTTCATATCTCTGATTCTTGTATATGTAGTATACATAGGAGTGTACTAGTGGGTGTGTCCATGCACACACTTGTGGAGCCCAGAGAAGGACACTGTCACTCCCCACCTTTTTCCCTTGAGGCAGTCTCTCACTGAACCTGGAACTAGGCTGGTGGCCAGCAAGCCCTAGGGATCCTTCTGTCTCCCACAAATCCACAGGCAAATGTGGATGCTGGGTGTGGCAAGTGCCATTACTCTGTTCATCTCTCAAGCCCTCTGACTTCTCTCTTAGTTCCTTGGCTTGTCTTCTGTCTAATGTAAGTGATACATGAAGTACCTTGTCCTGACTTGTACAAATTCTTTCCATATCCACCCATCTAGTCCGTGTGTATGTGTATGCACTTGCATGTTTGTGTTGTCAAGAATGGTTGTTGAGGGGCTGCAGAGATGACTCAACATTTAAGTGCATTGGTTGCTCTTGTAAAGGACATGGGTTCTGTTCCCAGCACCCACATGGTGGCCAACAACTGTACATAACTCCATAATTAAAAAAAAAAAAAAAAAGATGCCAAGGCATGGTGGTGCACGCCTTTAATCACAGCACTCAGGAGGCAGAGGCAGGTGGATCTCTGTGAGTTCAAGGCCAGCCTGGTCTACATAGTGAGTTCCAGGACAGTTGGGGCTACAGGGAGATCCTGTCTCAAAAAGACCAAAAAAAAAAAAAAAAAAAAAAAAAAAAAAAAAAAATATGCCAGGCATGGTAGCACACGCCTTTAATCCCAGCACTCAGGAGGTAGAGGCAATCAGATCTCTATGAGATCAAGTCCAGCCTGGTCTACATAGCAAGTTCCAGGTCAGCTGGGGCTACAAGGGCACACAATACATGTATCCATGTAAACATATACTCACACAGACACAGGCACATACACATAAATAAAAAATCTTTTAAAAAATGGTTGTTGAATTTTGTCAGTCTGTGAAGGTGCTGGGCATGAGGATACACACCTGTAATCCCAGCACTCGTGAGGCAGAGGCAGGAAGAGACTGAATTGGAGGCCAGCTTGGGCTGTGTAGCAAGACACTGTCTCAAAGAAACAAAGCCAACCCAGAATCCATGAAGGTGATCATGGTAGGTTAATTGTGAAATAATACTTGGGGCCTAGTGAATCTGAACATTTCAGGGACTTCCCTACAGGATGGAACGTTTGGTCCATATTCTGACGTTTACCTCCCTTTTAACATCCTGTGTCAAGGGCTTATTTTATCTCAGGAAATTGCTATACAACCACCTCCTATTATGTGGACCCTTTTTTTTTTTTCTTCTGTGTATGAGTGTTTAGTCTGCTTGTGTAAGTGCATCAAGTGCAGTACAATGCCCGTGGAGGCCAGGAGAGGGCACTGGATCCCCTGGAACTGGAGTTACAGGAGTTACCACCATGTGGGTGCTGGGAAGCAAACCTGGGTCATCTGCAGGAGCAACCAGTGTACTTAACCACTGAGCAGCCTCTCTAGCCCCCTATTTTTATTTTTTTATTATTTTTGGTGGGTTTTTGTGTTTTTTTTGTTTGTTTTTTTTTGTTTTTTGTTTTTTTTTTTTTTGAGGCAAGGTCTCCCTGCACTTGGCCTGGAATTTATATAGACCGGGCTGGCCTCAACCTCACAGAGATCTGCCTGCCTTTGCCTCTCAAGTGCTGGGATTAAAGGCTGTGCCACCAAACCCAGCTATTTTTTATTTTGAGACAGGGTCTCACTAAGTTGCCTAGACTAGCCTTGAACTCACTCTGTAGCCCAAGTTGGCTTTGAACTTTCAGTCCTCCTGACCCAGCCACCTAAGTAGCTGGGATTACAGGTTTGAGCCACCAGGCCCAGCTGCTGCAATTTGGAGATAGCGTTGACAGGCTGGTGATATGCCAGCTGTGAATGTATTCAACAGACATGAGAAGGCAGAAGCAAAGTTTATTAGCTGTACTGTGGTACCACTGCAGTGGGTGAGTCAGTGAGAAACAGCAAGACATTCTAAAGGTCTGCTTTCCTGGGGGTTTCTATGTGGGCAGTTGGGCAGTTGGGGCTTACTGTGATTGGCAACAGCCTAGCTTTGAGGTCCTGACTGTGTTGCCCTAAGTCAGAAGTGGCTCAGTGTAGCTGCAGGCCCTACACTGGCTTCCACATTTCCCACCTAGGGCTTGTTACGGTTAACAAACACTTTGTTTAAAAAAATTTTATCACATGACTGGAGAGATGGCTCAGTGGTTAAGAGCACTGGCTGCTCTTGCACAGGACCCAGGTTCAATTCCCAGTTCCAGGAGATCTGATGCCCTCTTCTGACCTCCTTGATATAATTTCTTCAAAACCAGCTGGGAATGGTCTAACTCCATCAGGTAAGCTGTGATCACCAGACTAATACCCCACCATTTTGCCATATCCTGTTGGATGGATGCAAATTATAGTGTTCACACACTGTTTATTTGGTTTGTGGAGATAAGTTTTCACATAGTCCAGGCTGGCCTAGAACTCACTATGTAGCTAAAGATGACCTTGAACGCCTCATCTTCCTGCCTCTACCTCCCAAATACTGATATTGCAGGTGTGCCCCCACCACACCCAGCTCTGTTGTCTATTTTTAAAAATATTTTTTTATTTTGGCTGGGTGTGGTAGCACACGCCTTTAATTCCAGCACTTGGGAGGCAGAGGCAGGCGGGTGTTTGTGAGTTCGAGACCAGCCTGGTCTACATAGTGAGTTCCAGAACAGCTGGGGCTACAGGAAGACCCTGTCTCATTGAAAAAAAAAAGACAAAAAAAAAATTTGTTATTTTATAAGCCAGGTATGGTGGCACATGCTTTTAGTCCCAGCACTCGGGAAGCAGAGGCAGGTGGATCTCTGTGAGTTCAAGGCCAGCCTGGTCTACATAGTGAATTCCAGGCCAGCTGGGGCTACAAGGAGACCCTGTCTCAAAAAGACAAAAAAAAAATTGTTATTTTTATATATATGAGTGTATTGCCTGCATGTAAGTGCACCCATGTCCTGCAATGCCCTCAGAGGTCAGAAGAGGGCATCAGATTCCCCTGGAACTGGAGTTATAGACAGTTGTTATCTCTCATGTGGGTGCTGGGAATGGAGCCTGTGTTCTCTGCAAGAGCAATCACTGCTCTTAATGACTTTCCAACTATATATGTATTTATATATATATATAGAGAGAGAGAGAGAGAGAGAGAGAGAGAGTCTTTTTTGAGACAGGGTCTCCCTGTAACTCCAGCTGTCCTGGTGTGATGGCCCCAAATGGAGTTCCCCAAATTGCAATAGCCAAAATAACTTCATTTTGTATAAAGCAGCCACTTTAAACTTCAACAGCTAGAAAAACAGCCGGCTTCAAGGTTAAACACCTGAACTTAGTTGCTTCCCCTTGCTACAGCCCAGGCTGACCTCAAACTCACAGAGATCCATCTGCCTGTGCCTCCCAAGAGATTAAAGGTGTGTGCCACGACACCCGGACTAAAAGTGCTAGGATTAAAGGTGTGTGCCACAGTGCCAGGCCCTAAAGCATCTGCATTTATTCTCATTGCTGTCATTTCAGATAAAGAATTTTTTAACCTTTGGTCTCCCTGTAGCCCCCATCTGTCCTGGAACTCACTATGTAGACCAGGCTGGCCTTGACTTACAGAGATCCGCCTGCCTCTGCCTCTCAAGTCCTGGGATTAGAGGCGTGCGCCACCACGCCCGGCAATATGTACTTCTTAATGTAGCACCATCCCTGTGTTTAGATCCCAGAGTCAACCATACCCGTAATTGCACCTAATACCGCCAGGGGGCGCCCGAGACCAACACACGCTGCTCACACATGCGCACAGCGTTTCGCGCGAGCGCAACGTTTTGGAGCGCGCTGAGGCCGGCGCGTGCGCACTCCTTCCACCTGCCGCTGGAGCCGATACCCTCCGCTGCTGTGCAGGCACTCGGTGCTGACCTGACGGACCCACCGGTCGGAGATGTCCGAGCTGCCGGGAGACAGCGGGATCCCGGACATGAGCACCTTGAATGGCGTTAGCGACGCCCTGCCGCCGGGAGGCGGCGGCGGGAGGCGGGTCCCCGAGGCCCAGCAAGGCCCGCCGGCTGGCGCCGCCCGAGCCATGGCGCGGGCCCCAGGGCTGGCTCCCAGGCTGGTCCCGGGCGGCGTCGCGGGGCTGATGGCGGTGCCGCACATGCACTGCCCGCTCCGCTTCCTAGAGCTGCAAGAGCAGCGGATGTTCCACCACTACCTGCACAGCACCCCCCTGATCCCCGTCAGGCTGCTCCGCGACATCGAGGAGCGCCGCCGGCTCTTCGTGGAAGGCTGCAGGGCCCGCGAGGCGGCCTTCGACGCCGACCCCCCGCAGATGGACTCCCACGCCCGCGCCTTCACCCTGGCCCTGACCGCCCCCGACGCTCGCGGGCCTGAGTGAATCAGGGACAAGCCCCGCGCACCTGGCATCCCAACATCCCAGGGGGCAGCTGGGAGGATCAGGAGTTCAAGGTCATCCTCGACTATAGAGCGAGTTCCAGGCCAGCCTGGGCTACATGAGACTCCGTATTTTACAAATAAAAATAAAATTTTAAAAGATCGGGTGGCCAGGAAAGGCAGGTGACTCTTAGGATCAAAGGCCAAGACTGGGCAATTGTCATTAGGCGGGAAACAAGAAGCCAGAATACAGCCATGCACCCGGAGGGAGGAGGCACACCCAGAGAGAGAAATGGACACTTCAAGACTTGAAGCTGGCAGGCAAAGAATACTCTTCCAACTTCCACTTTGTGGCCCTTAGCGATCTTTTTTTTTCTCCCCCTTAATTTATGGAAGCTCCTTCATCATGAAGGATGGCTTTGCAAAGCTCAAGGCTAATGAAACCTGCAAATGAATAAACCCATAAAAATTAACCAAGATGGGGAAAGAAGAGACACAGTTGTTCCACACAGTTGTGCCTCAGTTTTAATAGAATTGGGGACTGTTTAGAGGACTTGAAATATCACAATTTGGGGTTATCTCATTGTCAGCGGACAGCTTTGTGTGTTTGTGTTTGATGGTCTGCAGATGTAAATATTCGGTTAGGAAAAAAATCGTGTATATGTTGTGAGATGAATATATTTTCAAGGCCATGTGCAATTGCATCCATATGGGAATAGTTTTGTTTTAGTTAATATTTAAACTTTCTATTTTATGCTAGATTATATGTGTAGTCATAAGACTCAAGACTATCAAAAGAGATGGTAGAAAAAGTTAAGCTCTTTTCTGTCTGCTAAATTGGAAACTAACCAAGTATCATCTTTAATGATTTGGGTTGGGGTGGGTTTTGTTTTCTGTATGCTTTTTAAAACAGCTTTCCAATGCATATACAAGTTGACACCAATCTAGATCCCCCCCTTACTGAAGATGGAACCCAGAGCCTTGCACTTTCCAGCACTTTTCTCTCTTTCTAAATAAAGGTGGGGCTGGGGAGGTGGCTTTGTGGGTAACAGTGCTTGCTGCCAAGTCTGATAACCTGAGTTCAGTCCCCAGGACCTACATGGTGGAAAGAGAAAACCCACTCCCCTGTATTCTGACCTCCACTTTGCTTGCCCTCCCCCCACAAATGTGGAAAAAATTAAAGTAATATATACCTCTATCAGCATCTTGAGTTTTTATGTTTTCACTTGGAAGTGTTTTTATAGGGTTTTGTTTTGTTTTAAATGCAACATAAGGCTGTATCTTAACTAGTTATCTTCTGGGCATCTGGATTGTTTCAAAAAATTTTTTTAAGATTTACATTTTATGTGTGAGTGCTTACATGCATGTATGTATGCATGTGTGTGCAGTATCCACAGAGGCCAGAAGAGGAAGTACAGGTGGTTGTGAGCTGCCATGTGGGTGCTGGGAAGCAAACCTGGGTCCTCTGCAAAAGCAGTAATTATACACTCTTAACCAGTACACCATCTCTTCAGGCTCTTTTTTAGGGGGGAGAGGAAGGTGAGACATATTTTCATGTAGCTCAGGCTGACATTGAACTCCTGATCCTCCTTCCTCTACGTCCCAAATTCTGGAACTACATGCATGTGGCACTGTGCCCAGCTGCGTTTTTGTAATTTTTTTTTCTGTCTTTTTGAGACAGGGTCTCCCTGTAGCCCCAGCTGTCCTGGAACTCACTGTGTAGACCAGGCTGGCCTTGAACTCACAGAGATCCACCTGCCTCTGCCTCCCGAGTCCTGGGATTAGAGGCGTGCGCCACCACGCCCAGCTGTTTTTGTAATTTTCTATGCATTTGTGTTTACTCATTTTGCATAGAGACTTCTATAAATGGAAGCAGTTGATTAAAGGGCAAATGTATTGGTAATTTAAATACATATTTCTAGAAAGCCCTCTTTGAGGCTCTCGATTTACTTTCATTCACCTGGGAATTAGTGTGCCTCTTTCCCTACAGCTAGCCCAGTCCATCTGACTTGGCTTTGGGGAACACTAACAGTGAAAACTCACTTCTGTGGTTTGATCTCTTAACTTCATGGCGGGGGGTGGGGGGGCGCTAGAGCTCAGTGTATGAGGGTCATTGTGTCTGCTTCTCTGAACTGCCTGTCCATAGCATTTACTTGAAAAATCTATAGAGGAGTAACCAAAATAGTCAGCCCTAGACATTTATGACAGTACACATACTTGGGAGGCTGAGGAAAGAGACTCCTAAGTTTAAGGTTAGTTGGGCAATTTAGCAAGACTATCTCAGAAAAAATACGTAGAGCCAGCAAGATGGCTCAGTGCCTGTCATGCAAGACACTCTGGTCCATGGAACCCATGGAAAGCAGGAAGGGGAGAGCCAGCTCCGCAACGTTCTAATCTGACCTCCATACACACGTGCACACACACAATCACACCTGCAATAACATAAAGCAAGAAGTTACCCCTTTGTGATGTGAGATGAACAGTTTTCTGGTTTGGACTATCTTTGATCCTTTTGCCCAGCAGAAGTGTTTACTGTAGCACCACACGTTGGATTTTTCTTTTATGGTTTCTAGACTTTGAATCATAGTATGGCTTGACCCCAGTCAGGTAGAGTTCACAGGAGGCTGGGGCAGGAGGGTTGCTGTGAGTTTGAGGCCAGCCTGCACTACCTTGTGAGATCCTGTGTCAAGAAACATAACAAAAAAAGAAAAAAAAAATTTGCCACTCCAGAATCATGAAGAACACTGTGGGTTCAAATGTTAATGTTGCTCTTTTGTTCATTGGAATGTTCTAGATCCTGGGACTGTTTATTCACCTCTTCATTGGACTGCTTTTCCAAAGATTATTCAGTTTTTTTCTACTGTGCAACATTAGGATCAATGTGACTCATTCCTATTTTTTAATATACTTTATTATTTTTATTTTATGTGTATGAGTATATTGCCTGCATGTATGTAAGAGCACCTTTGCCATGCAATGTCCACAGAGGTTAGAAGAGGGTGTCAGGTCCCCCGGAACTGGAGTTACAGACAGTTGTTAGCTGCCATGTGGGTGCTGGGAATCAAACTCGGGTCCTCTGCAAGAGCAGTCAGTGCTCTTAACTGCTGAGCCATCTCTCCAGCCCCCTCATTCCTTTTTTTTTTTTCTTTTTGAAACAGGGTCTCCCTGTAGCCCCAGCTGGCCTTAAACTCACAACTCACAGAGATCCGCCTGCCTCTGCCTCTCAAGTGCTGGGATTACAGGCATGCGCCACCATGCCCGGCTCATTCTTTTAAAAAAAACTGGTGGCATTTTTATTTGAATTGCATTAAATTATATGCTTCTGAATGAAAGCTGGCATCTTTACAATGTCTTCCTCCCCAGTCATGTGGTAAGTCTCCCTTTCACATCCCCAGATGGGTTTTAAATCTCATACAGGTCTTACATATTTTTGTTAAGAATGTTCCAAGATTTGTTTGTGATTGTCTTGAATGTTTCATTAATAAATTGAATACTTTTGATTATATTTTTGGTGTTCAATTAATCCTACTGTACATTCTTGTGTTGGTTTTCTTTACATTTATTTGGGGGAAAAGTGTGCAGGCCACTGTGTGATTGTGGGGATCAGAAGACAACTTTGTATGTGTTGTTCATCTTTTCTACCATGTGAGTCCTGTGAGTTGAATTCAGGCCATCAGTCTTGGCAGCAAGTGCCTTTAGCCACTGAGCCATCTTGTCAGTCCCCAAATTCTATTAACTCAATGGTGTTCCATAGTTCTTTCTAATTTAAATTGGGTTTTTATTTTTATGTTTTGGCTGTGTATGCAAGTATACCATGACATGCAATGTCTATGGAGGTCAGAAGTGAGCATCAGATCCCTGGAACTGGAGTTAAGAATGGTTGTTAGCCACCATGTGGGTGCTGGGGACTGAACCCTGGTCCCCTGCCAGAGTAGCCAGTGCTGTCAACCACTGAAAGATCTCTCCAGTCCCCTTTCTAATTTTTAACACCCCGAATTATCCTCCTCATCCTCTCTGTCATTTGTTCAGTTGTTTTTCTGAGCTCTAACTGGTCTGAAATTTGCTATGCAGAGACTAAGCTGGCCTTGAACTTGTAGTGATCCTCCTGCCTCTGCCTCCACAGTGCTAGGTACACTAACCTAGCACTAACAGTTCCATCGTGAATAATGACAGAATGCGAAGACAGTCTTGACTTTTCCTGACTTTAGTGAGAATGCTTCTAGTATTCCCCAGGAAAAATAATGTTGGGTTTGGGTTTAAATTAGTATGTTAGGGGCCAGAGAGATGGCTCAGCAGTTAAGAGCACTGGCTGCTCTTCCAGAGGACCTGGGTTCGAATCCCAGGACCCACATGGCAGCTAACAACCATCCTTAACTCCAGTTCCAGGGGAATCTAACGCCCTCTTCTGCCCTTCGTGAGCATTGCATGACACAAGTACACTCACATATATGCAGGCAATGCACTCATACACACACAAAAATAATAATAAAATATAAATGAGTATGTTAAACTGGGCACGGCAGTACATGTACTCCCAGAACTTGGGAAGTGGAGATACAGTCAGGGATTCAAGTCATCCTCAACTACATACCAAATGCAAATCCAGCCTGGTCTACATGAGACCCTGTCTTTTTGTTTTATTCAAATATTTTATTAGTTTTATTTTTTGTGTATGAGTGCATTGCCTGCATGTATGTAAGTACACCCCTGTCATGCAGTGCCTGCAGAGATCAGAAGAGAGCATCAGATTCCCCTGGAACTGGAGTTACAGATGGTTGTTAACTGCCATGTGGGTGCTGGGGACTGAACCTGGGTACTCTGCAAGAACAGCCAGTGCTCTTAACCATTGAGCCATCTCTACAGCCCAAAACCCTGTCTTTAAAAAAAAAAGTAGGGGTTGGGAATTTAGCTCAGTGGTAGAGCACTTGCCTAGCAAGCTCAAGGCCCTGGGTTCGGTCCTCAGCGCCAGAAAAAAAAAAAAAAAAGACAAAATAAATGAAAACTTCAAGGGCTGACATTTTTTTGTGAATCTGGAATTTCTTGTGAGCTTCTGTTCCATCATAATTTCCGGGAAGAGTATTAACCTGCAGAGTGAAGGGCACTTCCTTTTCTTTCTTTGGAAGGATGTTGTATTTTAGAGACGTCTGTAAACAACAATAATATTCTTTATTTTTGCATTGAAAGAATCTCACAGCCTCTTCCAAATAATCCAACCCTTCCCTTCGCATACATTTCCTTTTTGATTTTTGATATTTTCTCTCCCCTTGCCCATTGTCTGGGCCCTGAAGGTCTCACCTGGAGGTACACACATCCTGACCCTGATACTGTGGTGATGTAATTCCCTGGGAGTTCTGGCAACCCAGCTTCTTGTAGCAACAGGCGGTTGGTATCATCCACGTGGAATTCCCGAGAGAAGGTCTCTGAAGATTTGACGGTGACCAAAGCTGCTGTCTTACTTTTAGTAAAAGTTGCTGCTCCATATTTGGAGAGGGCTTGGAGAGCTACCACTGTATCCTGAAAAAAAGATAGATACAGAAATCACAGCAGAGATAGATTGAGCAAAACTACACTAAATATAAAAACACCTTTAATCCCAGCACTTGGGAGGTAGAGGCAGGCAGATCGCTGTGAGTTCAAGGCCAGCCTGAAATAGTGAATTCCAGACCAGCTAGGGCTACAGGGAGATCCTGTCTCAACAAAACAAAACAAAACAAGGGTTAGAGAGATGGCTCAGTGGTTAAGAGCACTAGCTACTCTTGGAGAGGTCCTGGGTTCGAATCCCAGGACCCACATGGCAGCTAACAACCATCCTTAACTCCAGTTCCAGGGGAATCTAACGCCCTCTTCTGCCCTTCGTGAGCATTGCATGACACAAGTACACTCACATATATGCAGGCAATGCACTCATACACACACAAAAATAATAATAAAATATAAATGAGTATGTTAAACTGGGCACGGCAGTACATGTACTCCCAGAACTTGGGAAGTGGAGATACAGTCAGGGATTCAAGTCATCCTCAACTACATACCAAATGCAAATCCAGCCTGGTCTACATGAGACCCTGTCTTTTTGTTTTATTCAAATATTTTATTAGTTTTATTTTTTGTGTATGAGTGCATTGCCTGCATGTATGTAAGTACACCCCTGTCATGCAGTGCCTGCAGAGATCAGAAGAGAGCATCAGATTCCCCTGG